AGAACTTTCCATGATAGGTCCTGACAAAGGACAATAGTGTCGTTTCCTTTTGAAAGAGGAAGGAAGAGAGAAGATATAAATTTACTCAGGTGCTTGAGGGAGCTGACATTTGAGAATGTCTCAGCTGAAGAATACTCTGTGAGTCTTGGAAGGTGAAAGCACTGTGCAGTGATGGTATTCTTGAAAGGCAATTTAGAAATTTATTTCTGAATACATTTTTCATCTATTCTGGATCTCGTGTGCAGTTTGGCTTCCTGCATCATAAAAATACACTTTACGTTGAGGTAGCTGACTTGAATGAGATGAATCCCATGTCTGCTTCGTTTTCTTTGCAAGAATGCTGACAAAGTTCAGGAAAGGGCTGCAGCACTGACTTGGAAGACATCTGTGTTCCAAACCGTCTGTAAATCGCGGAGAAAGCTAAGAGGTGGTTTGATCATAACACGCCTGTATGCAGGTGAGGAGATCTCACTCCCTGAAAAATATTTCTTGATTATCTTAAGAAAACCTGATGCCTGTTTGCTGGAATTTGGTGTTAAACATGCTCAAATTGGAAATAATGACCTCTTCTCTACAGTGAATGTAATTAAGTATTGAAGAACTCATGAACGTAATAAGGAATATGCTGTGGTTCAAAGAGAGGCTTGTTTGGTTGCAGCAGATCCCCTGTCAGGGGTTATGAGTAAAGGCAGGTCTTGTAGACGTTGCAGTTTCTCAAACCTTGCTTGTTATGTGGTGTGTGCACTTCTGATCCTATAATTTCACGATAAATTTTGTACTGTAGTTGAAGTATTTGCACGTGTGTCAGTATGGGAAGAAAAGGTAAATTTTCTTAGTTTTGTGTCCATCCTGCTTTGGAAGGTAACTTGTGATAGCCATTTGTAAATTGGGTCCTTTGTGGTGGGGGTCAAATAACATGCAAATTGTTCATTGTAGCATTTCTGCTCAGTTCAGCAGATGAGCAGTTCCAGCTCCAACATCCAATGTTTTTAATACCAGATTTTCTAAGACTTTTCCAGTAACTGTAGAATGCTTTATAAAATCACCAGTTGCCAGCCGAACCGTGCTGACTGGGATGGGGCCTTTGGAGCTGTGGCTGCTGTGTGATCTGAGCTTCTTTGGCTTTTGTGGAGTGTGGCTCTGTGTCAGCTCCTTCTGATGCTGCACAGCAACTCTTCAACAACTGAGTCACCTCTTCTACCCTCATCTCCATCCTCTGAGTCTGCATTTGCATGTGTGCTTTGTAATCTCAGTTGACAATATTACGACTTGGGCCAGATAGGAAGAAGCATAATGATAAATCCCAAGGTCCAGTGCCACTCTGCAATGGTATTGTAGAACTAACAGGAGTGAGTGAATAAATTCAATAAAATGTGAACAAAATTCAAGCATTTCTAAATGAGAGGATGCAGTTAAGCTGCTTTTTGGCAGAACCAGCTCCTCCAAGAGGTAGGATGTGGTCGCATAGCTGGGATGGTGCTTCTGAAACCACATTGATAACTTGTCAAAAGGCAAAGCTATTGATTTTTCTTTTTCTTTTTTATTTTTTCCTCTGTTATTTTTATAGAAGTATCCAAGCTGGAGAACTTACCCTACCATCTCTTCTGCTTGAAGCAAGCATGCTTATCTAGTGACACCTTTGCTGTGTACGGACGCACAAAGGGCTGGTTTCCTCTTAGGGTTACTGCTAATGTTGTTGCTAGTCTTGGAATGAAGGAAAAGCTGTGCTTACCCTGAAGCTTTCAGAGGCAGCAGAGGCCTGTTCTTGGCTTGCTAGGCTTCATTTGCACATAAGCCAAGTTGCTGGCCGATGGATCCCTGGCTTACAGATTGTCATTGTTCAGTTACTTCACTTGAGCATAATCTTTACATGAATAGAATTTCTTGTGTGTTGTAGAGTAACCTTTTATATTATTAGTATCTGCAATAATTTTTTCCCTTGGAAACTGATTCATTTCTTCTTGCAGATAGGAAAGACATGAAGCATTATTCTGCAGTCACACAAGAAGCCCTATTCATTCATAGTTTATATTGTGAAACCAACCCTGTATCCTTAGGGTTGGAGTTGGTTTCGTGGCAGCAGTCCTAATTACTGAATCTATCTCTAGCATATCTGAACTGGGGGCTGTTTAGAAACACAACTGGAATGAAATGGGAGGCCAAAAAGATGGAAATATGGATGTTTCTTAATGCACTCAGTCTTTCCATTGTTGCTGTTCACAAATAGTAGATTTGAGTCACCAGCTGAAAGTCTCAACAAAAGCCCATTCAAGCTCAATTTGAGACCAGATTCCCAGATCTGGTAACAGGAAGACATTTTCTTAGATTTTGTCTTAACTGGGTTCATATGCTGGATCATGTTTGGTGGTTCATTGTCAAATAAAGCTGTGAGCTGAGTGCACGCTAATCCTGGTCAAGTAAAGCCAGTGGTGGAGTGAGAAATGCAGTTTGTACTGTGTGTGTATGTGTGTGTGCATGCGTGCTGCCTGGAAGTTACTGGTCTTGGCTGTGTGTAGCTGGAGGCAAGTGCTCCAGTGCCTTGAGATACCTTAGCACGTTTCTGCAGACAGTGAAAATAAGGCAAGTGATAATCACTGAGAAGGCATTAAACTGGTTGGAAAGAGTCTATTAGGTTTTTAATGTTCCTTTTCTGTTTACTTCTTTCCCTGACACAACAGTAAAAGGGCTGAAGACATCTGAGCATGGAGGAGGAGGTCGTGTTGTGACAGCCATGACATGTCTGTGTCTTGATTGTGTTGGCTCCTGGATGCGATAGTACCAGAGAAACACAGCCTGGTTGGGAAGAGGTTAGAGAATGCAGCAAGCATGGCTGAACAGCATCCTTCTTCTAAGGGGCTGACTGCGTGAGCATGGCTGAGCAGTGGCTTAGGGCTTAAGCACTTAAAATTATTTGGAAAGTGGAGATGATAGGAGGAGCTGCTTCAGATGTTGTTGAACATATCTGGAAAAACAAAGTAGAACTGAGGAAGCACTGGTTTAGGCTGAGAATCTGTGAGACTTCATTTGACAAACTCCTTGTGGAATAATCTTAATGGCATGAAAAGCTTCGATGTTTGAAGTTAGCTTAAAGGATGGGAGAAAGTTAATCCCATGGAAGGAGTACATATGTAAGGGGGAAGCAACCCCTTGGAGTGATAGAGGAGGCAGTGAGATTTAAAGTGTTATTTCTATGATTAGGGAATAACTTCGTCAAGATGCAATTGTTTCCCAAATTATGTATATCTCAGACAATCTTCCTTGGTGGTAAAGCTTGTTCATTAGAAAAGTAGGGAAGAGAGGACTGGAGCAATTGTGAAGAGCAGTCTTCTGCTGTGCCTCATGGAGGAGGGAGGAAGGAGTCTGAGCAAGTCTTGTGCTTTTTTGGAAACAATATTGACTTTTCTAATCTCTTCTTCTGAGGGCTTCTATTTTCTCTAAACATCATGGAACTTTTCTTTGTTGATGGAGACTCAGAAAAGAGCAAGCAGCAAATAGGCTTTCTACCTCTGAAAGTAGAAAGCTCTTGGAGTCCAGAGATCATTAGACTTCTTGGAGTCATGGAAGCATGGGTTTTCCTGTCTGAACAAAGCCCGCTAAGTCTTATAAGATGAGCACATTGGTGAGCCAGTAGTACTTTTTTAAACTGTGGCTCTGATTCAGCGAAGCATTAAACGCACCTGATTGTGGAGCCTGAGAGTCAGTGACTGGAGGGTGTGGAGTCTTATTACCTAGGCTTCTGCTTGATGGTATAAGGACCCCAGGGTTTAAAAACGGTTCTGTTTACGCCCTTTATCCTCTGACTCAGTGCTGTGGCTGGGGCACACCCCATACCTCTGATCATCCCTTTGGAAGGCTCTCCTGTGCCTGTGGGGCTTTGGGGCAATGCCAGTGGGTGTAGGGAGGAGCAGTACAGGGCAGGCACCGAAGCACGCTGTGAAGCTGGCCCTGGTACAACAGACAGATTGGCCTATGGTGCTTGATAGGCAGGTGGCAGCCTGTTACAGACACCGGCGTGGTAGTTGGAGCAGTTGCTACTTCATCTTGCATGCAATCATTGCAGTGTTTTATATAATCTGTGGAACAAATCAGAAAGGTTTCTGCGTGCAATTCTACTTAATTGTAATGAGTGGATTTGATGTGTTTATGAATCCCATCAAATAATCTTAAAATCAGTTCTTTTCAACTTCAGATGAAGGATTTATAATATATAAAATGTCAATGTTCAGCAGAATGTTTTTTTGGTACAATATTAATCATTATGATAGGAAATGCAACCATAAATGCTTACTCTGCGTGTAAAATTCTCAATTCCGACTTTCACAGACTTAACCTCTACACAAATGTTATTTTCTGCTCTTGATGTCTACGCCAGTAGACTTATTAAAAAGTCTGTTATGATATTTATGGGTTATAGGAGAATAAAAAAAGCAGTTCTTCTGCCTTAAAATGTTTGCCATAGTCCCAGAGACCTTGGTGAAAGGCTAATGGAAGTAGCCTTTATGAAAGGCCACACATTTTTAGAGGCATTCATCTGCTTGGCTTCAGGCTGTTTGCAGTGCTTTATAATCCAGAGAGTTTGGAAATTCTGACAGTGCTTTTCTCAACTGCTGTTTTCCCTGTGTTAGAGGGTCTTGGGAAATGACAGCCAGAAATTTGCAACATGATCAAAATGTTGTGTACCATTAGAATTTAAGGTAATGTTTTGCTCAGAATAGGAAAGGGAGGGGGGAAATAAGCAAGTCTGGAAAAAGGAAATCAATGAGTGGTTAAAATAGAGCTGTTAAAATGGCAACACACAGACAGCCCGTGTATAAATATAGGCTAGCTCCTTAGCAGTGTTCTTATATGGTAGATCTGAGTGAAGGAAAAATATCAGCCTGCTCTCACTTCATACGAGCCTGAATGCTGGTTGGTAAGGTCTGATGCCATTTGTTTGGTGTCAGAAAAGGCTGTATATTACATGTCAGTTGTAATGACTCTTGTTTCTCTTTCTCTTGCAGGGACCTTCCTTAACAATGTGAGAAGGAAATCACACAAGCACACTGTGGATTTTTTATCTGTACATACCACTTGATTATTGTCTGTCTTCTACTGATCAACCCAAAAAGAAAGATCAAACAAAAATTGTTGTCAGCTCTGCCCTAGAGCCGCCTGATATTTATGACTCCTTTTGGAGAAACTACCTGGACTGTTAGAAATGGAGCAACTCAGGCTGCGTCTCTGATCAGCAGAGCTCTCTGTGTGGAGTACAGAAATCAAGTTGCCTTAAATCAAACCATATGCAGGTTGCACTAATTGTTGTAACTCTACTGCTGATACCACTCCAGACTTCGCTAGGACTTTCTAAGACAGTAGTTTCTCACGTAGCTTGAATGTTTTTAACCGATGTTTGAATAGTTCTATTCAATCTGGTGTGGCTGTGCAAAGTCAAAGGGGTTTACTTTTTCCTCCTAAATTAATGGTGAATTTTGAAGCCTTACTTCCAAGCGGGATTTGTGCTATGGCAGCAGCCTACAGGCTTATGGTCACAACTGTGAACTGCTACAGCAGCGTGGTGATAGAACAGCACTTTCAGCACACAGTGCATTACTGCACGGGGACTTGTCAGGTGTTTAAGCAAGGAGTTGCATGTATAGTTGCCCACCACAGTGTGTGTGCAGAACTCAGTGTCCAAGATGCCAACCTAGACCACAAAATTCCAGTTTCTGAAAATGGGCTTGCCTTGCCTGGAAATGAGGACTATCAGCAAATACTCCTAAATAATCCAAGAATCAAAAAGGGCTCTTTGGTGCAAGCTTCCAGCAGTTTAAAAGACATTACTGGTGAGGCAATAAATCTCGCCAGTGGTAAAATAAAGGAATTCTCATTTGAGAAGCTCAAGAACTCTTCTAATCATGTGGCCTACAGAAAGGGGAGGAAAGTTCGTTCAGAATCATTCAGCAGACGATCATTTGATTTTGACATGATTTATGGGCACTTCAGCAATGATGAGAACTCTCCTCCATGTAGCTTTTTGCAGAGTCCCTCACCTGTGGAGAAATGGCAGGAGAGCAATGATGCTCCAGAAGTCAGTATGAATCCCATGGTTCCCTTCTCACCTCATTCTTTCTCTGACGAAAACTTCATTACCCAGATTTTGGAGAAGCACAAGCTGGATGGTTCTTCTGGTGGAGATATTAAAGTGTGCTTAGACATCTTGCTCAAGTGCTCAGAGGATCTGAAAAAATGCACTGACATAATAAAGCACTGCATCAAAAAGAAATCAGCAGACAGTGTTAGTGGAGGGAATAGCAGTGATCCTCTGGCTAGTTCAGAAATGATATACATGAATCTGATGAGAAGATTTTCTTCATACCTGAAAAAGCTACCCTTTGAGTTCAAGCCACCTGGGCACAAGGAAGCAGGTGATCTTGGAGAATTAGTGAACTGTTTTCATGGCTTGCAGCAAACTCCCTTTTCCCCAATATTTGGAGATGAGCAGCCACCTAGGTATGAAGACATTATTCAGCTTCCATCCTCAGTTCCTGTCAGACCACCAGGTGACCAGTGTGAGGTGACAAGCACCTCTCAGTCCATCCAAACAAGCACTGTGAGCTTTACCTCAAACTCCCTTTGCAGCACCTCACAGGAGAACAGTGTGAGAGCTGTGAAAGATGCTTGTGTTCTACCTCAGTTACCAGCCACAAGCCCTTCTGACTGCACGCCTTCCACTGAGGTTTTGTACATCGAGGAAGAGTCAGATGGGGAAAGAGTGTTAGAGAAAACAACGAGGGCAAAGGAGAAGGGAGACTGGGAGAGTTTAAAGCATAGCTGCCAGCTATCTGGTTCTTCAGATGTGATTGCTGATGTTAAAGCAGAACCTACCAGGGTAGGAGGTGAACTTTCTCATGCTTCTGAGAAAAGTAATCTTTTAAAACCAGTTTCAGATTCTGTACTGCGTGGTTCTCAAGCTGGTGTCTCCAGAGGAGAACAGACGTGCAAGATAGACAAGGATGAAATAGATAAACTGCTGCTGGACTTGGAGCACTTCTCACAGAAAATGGAGAGTACTTTTAGGGAGCCCCCTCCAAAGGACAGTGAACCTGCTTGTCTGCAGGTGTTTGGCTGGCAGGGTAGGCCAGTACTACCTGTGGCTCTTGAACCCAAAAGTAAACCCAATGACCCCACTTCCCCCTTGTCAAAAATCATGGAAACCAATGGTCATAAAATGGAAGAAGATGACAGAGCCCTTTTACTGCGCATCTTGGAAAGCATTGAGGATTTTGCCCAGGAACTGGTGGAATTCCAGACAGGCAAGGGAAGCTTGTCCAAGGAGAAAGAAGTGATGCAAATTCTTCAGGAAACATTGTCAACTCCTTCGCAGTCCCTCCTTGCAGGGCAAAAAAGCCATGCTGGGGCTGCCTCCAGAGACTCTGTTCCAGCTTTGATTCAGCAGGCACCAGAAGTAATTAAGGTAAGAGGATGAAGCCTTTGAGTGGATAATAAAACAAATGTGGAAAAAATGTGGAAAAAATGTTACAAGTGGTAAGCAGTTCTTTTGATGCTGCAATGTGGAATAATGTGCTCAACCTGGCAGTAGTATTGATGCAAAGACAAAAAAAGGAAACAAAAAACTGAGCAAACAAAATGGGCCCAGACATGCAGTTTCACCTTTCACCTTGTTGTTTTCCTGATGGTGCTCCTGTTTGCTTGTACTTAAGTGGGTCCTATGTAACAGAAGGGCTGAGGCAGCGTTTCAGCTTATTGCTTTATTCCTGGGAGCAGGCACTGGATTGGCTCTCACCAGTTCAGTGGGAACTGGGTGCTCCACCTTGCCCTTTCCCTTCTCAGAGTAACAGCTTCCTTTGTACTGCTTATCGGTGGTTCCTGAAGAAAGATCTTCTGTGGTACAACAGTGAAATCTAAGAAGATTTATTTATTTATTTCCCTTCCTTTGTTCTCAGTGCACAGAGTTGTTATGGTGTCCACACTGCGTATTTCTCAAACAAGAAGCAGGATTTTTTCAGAAGGGTCTGATTGGAAGCCTGCTTTAGAGGGAAGCCAAAGCTGTCTGTCCAGCTCCTAGTACTTTCCATTTGAAAACAAGTGCCACACTTCCAAAACAATGCAGTACCAAGGTCCCATGTACACAGAAAGCGTAGAGGGTTTCACTTCCCAAAATCTACTTTCCATTTATGTACTTGAGAAGGCGTCCAGATTATCATTGAACTCTCAGAGCTCTTTCCAGCAGGAGCATGATTTGCATGTCTTCAAGATGTTTGATTTCCTGAAAACACAGGTATTTGGTGCAGTTCTGAAAGGGGTGGGATGGAGAGAAGAATTTATCTCCCTACATGACATGATTGAGATTTTTTTCTTATTTTTAAGACTAGATGCACTCCAAGTGTTTCTAATTTTTCTCTGTGCATCTTTGCTTATGAAAAATGGCAAATATGGCTGTTGGATACCTCCAGCAAGCCAAAAGAGCTTCTTCCTCAAAGCATTCAACTAAGCAGCTTTAAAAGCTCTGAAGCAATCTTTTAATAACTATTATTGCCTTACGCGTTTACAAGATTTTTTTATACTTGTGAACTTCAAACAAAAATTGTTTGAGTGTGACATCTGCATTTTGTGGCTTCTCTTCTACAATACCTGAGAACTTGGATACTCTTAGGCTGTCAAACAGCTTTTATCAGTTGGTTCCCTACTGGTTTGTTTCCCTCATTGTCCCTGTGGTTTGTGTGTTAGTTTGCTCTTAGCCTGCCTTCGCAGACATACAATGTGTACCAGTATTACAGGAGCTCCTCTTGCTTACTACAGCTCAGCTTTGTGCACGTGCCTAGGACCAAAACTCACAGAAGAAAAGAAATGTCTTGGGAAAGCAGAGGAGACCTGGAGGGGCCTGTGCTGCACAGTGCAGCTGGTGCCCTTCAGAGTGGGTCAGCCCTTAGCTGAGTGGACAGAAGTCACCTGAACTGCTGGTTAAACCAGCCATGGCTTGCTCTGAGGTTTGGTGGGGTTTATCGAGAATGTTTTGTGCTCATCACCTCACCTGTAGGTGTAGCATGTAGGGTATATGTGAGTCTCCTTGGTTAACTCTGAATCTGGCTGGAGAATTTCTGTGAATTTCTGAAGCGTTTGTTGTATTTTCTTAGGGCCCGTAAATGGTTATCAAATAATTGTACAGCATACATACAAAAGTGAACAAACAAAAAACCTACCAGATCTAACATTGATGAAAATGCAGTGCAATTTTCATTTCTGATGCTTGTGGCAGTTCCAGTATCCCTTGAGCAGTGTGGAAGGAAAGGTGAAGCCCCTTCAGGCCAGGCTGTCTGCTGGCTCAGACTGGCCTATCAGCGTTGAAATCTGTGCTAACTTACATCAGCAACAGATTTTTCCCTTTATCCTAAGATCCAGTTACGATCATCCATGCAGAACAATAGAATTACTTGCTTCCTCAATTTCAAAACCAAAATATTTATAAATTAGGAAATGAATACTCAAGAAGTCCATCAATTTTTCAGAGCACATAATGAGCAAATCAGGCTTCTTATAGGCAGTCCAGGAAGCTTTGCATGCTTCCAGGCTGTTTGACATTTCCCAATCTGAGATCCAGTTTTCCGCTGCTTATCTCTGGACTAAGTATTTAGTTTAAAATTTCCTGTTCTGTGTATCTGCTGTAAGCTGATCTTTCTTATATAATGTTTTTTGAAATACGTGGTTAAGTGAAAATAATTCAGCTGTCTGACTAGCTGGAAGCTAGCAAAAAATACCCCAAACTTTTGCTAATCTGAGAAAGACCAGCAGCAAATCTGATAGCTGTATTCTTTGTCTGTAGGCAAGAGAGCAGTAAGGAGCAGAGCTTGGCTGGACTGATAGTTATAAAGGAAAACTAGAAACAGGGAGTAGGGGAAAAATAGAAAGTAGGCTGTAGAAATTATCTGATCTACAGATGTGATGACTGATAGGTATTTTGGGGGGTGTGTGGGGTGGAAGTCAAGGGTAGGTGTTTTTGACCTTAACCTCTCTGTGCCCTTGCCCTGCAACCTGTGCAGGATGGATGATTTGATGAAGCATTTAAATTTGGTTAATGAATGCTTGCAAAGTGCATAGTACTCGAGTGAAAGTATGCAATAAAGTCTTTAAGAACCTTACACGCTCATTCTGCCTTCAGGATCAAGTTTGGAAGTGCAGGGCTCTGCTCCAAGTCCTGCTTATGCATTCTGTTTTAAGAGCTGCTGGGTGAAGTTTGTGAATAGTCTTGAGAGCAGAAACCAGGGCAGGAGTTTGATGCCAGAAGAGGCTGCCTCTTTACATCCTGCCTCCACCAAGCACCTCGTATCAAAAGCCTAATTGTGCTGCACTGAGCTGGAGAGAGTGGTCCTGCCTCCTTTTTCTCTTCCTCATTTCTCCACTTTCATATGGCATGGCTTTGAACTTCCTTTTTACTTACCCTGATGCTTGTATACAAACTTAATATTTTAGACTTGTTTTATGCTAAATCAGTGATTAGAAATTAGCTACGTTGAAGTGCAGTGGGTGGTAGAGCTGCCTTTGGTCAAGGAGAGATGGACCTTGAAGCAGAACGCTCAGAGCTTGCAGGGCTTTTACGTTAAATAATCACTTTTTCTCAAAATGTATTTGTAATATAATGGAAAACTTTCTGGAATCAGATTTCCTCTACATATGTTATGAATTGTTTGGATCAGGTGTTGTGATATCACTCAATTAAGTTATCTGCACTCTTTTCAAACATCAATTATTCATGCTTTCTAATCCCAAACGGTAAGAAAGGACATTCTGATTGTTTGATAATAGTAATTGAAATAAAGAAAAAGAATAAATGAATCTTAAAGTATCTTGGAATCAAAAATGACAAGAAAATTAGATGAAATTCAAGAATTTAAAGAACCAATATTAACCACTTGAGGAGATGTTCCTGGCAGGTGGGCTAATCTTGTACTCACGGCAGATACAGATTCTTCTTGCATTAAGTTGCTTTGTCTTAAAACAGACATCTGAAGGTATTGGTGCAAAACTGATACACGTTGAATTTTTCAGCCTCATGGGCTCTAAAACCTATAAGAAGTTATGCTACTGCTGGAGAAGCTTAATCTGTTTTGAAGGCATTTGGAGCTGGTGCCCTTTTCAGCTATACAGAATGCACTGGGTTTTTGCAGCCAAACTTTGTGCTATTGCTAAATCCTGTGATGACTGAATCATCTGAATGCTTTAGAACCATCTTTAGGCACAGGTGGGATTCTGTCCGTGTTCTGATGGCTAATGAAGGCAATATGTACTTCTTTAGATACAACATCTTTTACCTTCATGCTTTAAATCGAGTCACTCAAAGCAGAGGAATTTCCAAATTTGCCTGCATTTTGTTCAGTTGATAGCTGCCCTGTTGATATACTTTCCTATTGCAGACTGTGAAACCATCCTTTTGCTTCCAGTTTCTCAGAGTGCTGTATATTTCTGTCTTTGTTCATACCCTCCTTTTGTGCTTTGAGGATAAGAGGTACCACACTAGGAACCTGCTATTTTGCAAAAATCCAGAATTCAGATTCTTCAAGCTTCAGCTCCAGTTTGCTTTTCTTTTTCCATGCTATCAGAGTGGTGGTGTAACTCTTTGGAATCTTGAAGTGGTTGATCTGTGAATGGGAAATCTTTATTTCAAGAAATAGCGAGCGGTTGCTGGGTTAGTGTGTCTCTTCCATTCATGTCTTTTAAAGCACAGTGTAGCTGGTCTGGATGCAGCTATAGAGATGAGAGGTTCCTTGGGGCTACATTTCCTCTGCGATGTGTAAGAAGGGTGAGAGGTCAATGGAAGATGAAGCAAGTACACTTGCCACAGATGACTGGGCATAAATCTTCTGACGTGCTGCTATATGAGATGTGCAGGGCTCCAAGTACAGTGAAGCCTCTTGTGCTCTTTGGGCATTGCCTTAATGTTTAGAAAAAAAATGTTAGAGCAAGAAAATATTTGTTTTACTTAACTGCAATTCCATTTAAAACTTTCCTGTCTTCCGTTTTCTTTTTTAGGATTCTTCTCATTCCTTTCCTTGTCCTGCCTCTCTGTTAGGCTGCACTTTCGTTTGTGAGGCACGTGGCAAATGACACTGTGATAACCTTGTGATTGTCTGGAGCTGTGTCCGTGAATATGCACCTGGACTTTGGAGCTGAAGAGTGCTCCCAGGTTGCACAATTCAGATATAGCTTCAGTGACCTAACGGGACCTAAATGATGCTCCCTGTGCTCCATTCTTGTTCAAATATTCTTTCATAAAGAGCTGAATTCCACAGCCTAGACTTCTACCTTGTGCTGTTGAATGAGGAACAACAGGAGAAAAAAAACATCTTGGGATTTTTGCTACTCAGTTATGAAGACATTAAAATAATGCCTTATTTGCGTGCCTGCTGAGGGTATTTCAGAGAGAGAGAAAAAAAGAAAGGGTCTTTTCCTTATTAAATA